TTCACAGGTTGAAATCATGAGTTAGTTGAAGCTAGACTACCATTGAAAACCTGGAAGCACTGGACGGCCGTTTCGTCCTAGTATGGGAAGTTAGACATTAACACCGTTGGGTGCCGGCTCAGTGGTCTAATGGTTAAGTGCTCGCGCGCGAAGGCAATAGGTCATGGGTTCAAATCCCGCAGGGGGCGGGTTTGTGGATGCGCACTGCTGAGGACTCCATAAATATCTTCATGATGTACAAACAATGAATTGAACTTCTGATTGGAAATTCTCAAGTACTTGATGGATTGCGTCAGTTATATGTAGGTGAATATGTGCGAAGTTGATGAATTGTTATTACTTCATGATTATATGGTGAAACATTGAATAATAATTGAATGTGATTCTATCACTATACCCAATCTCTTTTTTTTCATCTACTAGACTAAACCCCTTAAAGTTACTTATCATTTACGAATTGTGAAATAGTTATGTTAATGACAATCTAATGTGTTTGAGACAAGTGTAGTTAGAAAACAAAATGATGTACAATGAATAAAGTTTTATGTATTCTAAAATTATTAAATGAAGAAAACTCGTTCAGGTTCCGGGTTAAATAAGAGATTTACATTTCATACTTTTATACATATTTTTATCAGTTGACGAATCAAAGAGCAGACTGTGTGAATAATACTACTTATTCGTCAATTAAAATAAAACATTTGAACTGTTGAACTATATGACAATGGACTTGATAAGGTGTTCACATGATTATTGGGCATTCACTTAGTCAACTATTGAAATTCATTATTAATTTTGGATATAAACTATGAAATATTGTTTATCTATAATTGTTACTTACGCCTGCAACACCTCGTGGAGGAGCAAAGGCCAACCACCAGCATTCTTCATCCAATTGTGTCCTGGACAATCCTTTTCATGTATGTTTCCAATTTTCGGCACAGTGTGTTCCTTGGTCTTTCTATTTTCCATTTCCTTTCTTTATTCCAAGTTACAGCTTGCCTCGTGATGCAGTTTGATGATTTCCTCAATGTGTGTCTTATCCACCTACAATGTCTTTTACTAAGTCCCTCTTCAGCTAGAATCTGGTTTGTTCTCTCCCACAGTAGGTTGTTGCTTATGGTATCTGGCCAAAGGACATTCAATATCTTACGTAGACAACTGTTTATAAATATTTGTACATTTTTTATAATGGTTGTGTTAGTTCTCCAAGGTTGACCTCCATGTAGTAGAACTGTGTTGACATTCGTATTGAAGATTGTGACTAGATGTTGGTTTTCAGACAGTTGTTTAGAGTTACATAGGTTGTTCAATTTTAAGAGTGCTGCCCTCAATTTGCCAATCCTCGCCTTTACGTCTGCATTGGATCCTCCATGTTCGTCGATATTACTAATGCCCAGGTAAGTAAAGCTTTCTATCTCTTACAGAGCTTTCCCATCAAATGTGATTGGGTTGGTGTTGATTGTCTTATAATTCATGATATCGCTTTTTCCTTTGTGTGTGTTGAAGCCTACTGGTGTAGAGGCGTCTGTTACACTGGCTGTCTTCACTTGAATTTGTTGGTGTGTGTGAGATAAAAGTGGTAGGCGATCTGAGAAGTTCAGATTATTATTATTATTAATCGCTTTATTCAATATTGTATTTTGGTACAATATAGAAATTCTCAGCACAGGGTATTTTAACAACTTTCTTACGCAAAAAATACAGAAACAAAGAAAAAACAAAGGGAAAAAAAGGTTTTAAAAAAATCTGAAAAACTGTACAACTTTTCAAATTAGAAACATTTTAAGAATGCAGGTTATTGACTAGGCTAACTCTAACAATCTATTCGTCACAGAGTATATTTGTCAGGTAAGTTATTATAGAACTTTTGTACTTTTGCTTGCGTGCATGGATTTTAGTGTAATTACGTCTCGTTCTACCAGAAGATATACAAGGAGGAATATATGAGTGAAGGGGATGGTTAGTATCTGATAAAATAACACCTGCCAGGAGTTTGCATGCCTCCAGATTATGACCTCGAAAGATTCACCACACACCTTGCTAACTGCCTTCAGCACTCTCCGCAATACAGCAAAGTCTTTTCTCAAAAGCCCGGAAAACAATAGTGGAGAACAGTAAAGAATAATAGGTAATATGCAAGAATTGACAAATTGTAAGAGTAAATGACGAGTAATCCCAATAGCATGCAATCTCTTTATGTAGTAAGTCAGACGGAAAACCTTCATCGATAACAATAAAACGTGAGAAGACCAAGACAGATCAGAGGAAAAGGTAACACCAAGATGATTGACCTTCAACACTGTGTTTATCAACGAGTCTTCAATGACGCAAGCATTATGGGATATCAAAATGGTGTTTACATGCCGTTCATGTCTCATACTAAAGTTAACAGCTTGACATTTAGACGGATTAAGTATAAGACTATTAACAACAGACCAACAATCAATACGAAACAAAAACCCATTCATTTCTGTGGGATGTAAAGAGGTAGAGATAGGCATAAATATTTCACAAAAGTGTTTTCTGTGGAAGATGGCAGAACGTGCACTTCATTTGAAAACAGTTTATTCAAAAAATTCATTCACAAAGGGGATTATTTACTCATTTCTTCAGTAATCTATCAGAATCATAATGTTTTATTATTGAAATGAAGAAATTCTAAACAACTATGAATCATTTCAATCCTGTATCGGATTCATTCACTGTAATGTGTTCCCTTTTTAGATTTCTCAAAATCGATGGTAATTCCTAGAAATAATTAATTGTCGAAGAATTTTGATCGTTTAGTTGCAAGCACTTGTTCATTGTATTCCGTGCTTCCCCCTCAGATATCGAGGTCTTCATAATGTAATTGACCACCACATGGAAGAGAAAGCGAGAGTAGACAGCCTTTTCTGACTCCGGTCCTCACTTGGAATACGTCTGTCAAATGTTTTCTATGCACGACTTTGTAGTGTAGTCTGTCGTATGAATTCTAAATGATATTGAAGGTCTCAGGTACACCATAGTGTTGAAGAAGGTTTCACAAGGTATACCTATCCAATCTTTCATATACCTTCTCATAGTCAAGGAAGTTGATATATAGTGACGAGGTCCATTCAATTGATTGTTCAATGATGATCCGTAGTGTTGCGATTTGGTCTGTGCACTATCGATCCTTTCTGAATTCAGCCTTTTGAACTTGAAGTTGGATGTCTACTGAGTCTTTTGTGCGGTTCAACAACACTCTGTTGAAAAGTTTCATGATACTAACATTAGTAGGATGCCTTTATAGTTTTCACACTTTCTCAGATTTCCTTTCTTTAATATCTTCATATGGTGTCCTGCTTCTCAGTCTATCTGTGGTACTTGTTCTTCCTCCTAAATATTATTGAATATATTGATTTCTATGGGATGAAGTTGCTAATCCTATGCCCAACCCTCCTCCTTTACGCGGGCTTAAGACTGATAGTAACACTCGAACAGTTACAGGCGGTGTTATTTACACAATTATTGATTAGATATTTGAGCAAATAGTAACAAACGTTTTAATCAGGTACAATTATCATTTAACATATCCTCGACATTTAAGAAATATAACTTTTTGTTTCTAATACAAGTTACTAATTATCAAAATTTTCAACTCAGAAATTTAATTTTTTCTCTTTTAAAAAGAAAAACACCAAAAGTCCAATGGGAAAATTCCAGTAAGTGTTTTTGGCAATATTTACTTATTGATATGCAAAATTCTTCATCTATTCAAAGTTCATTTATTCTTAGATTAGATTATAGAACATGAAGCTGTTATAAGATATAAAACATTCATTTATTTACTTATGACAATATTAAAAGATAAACAATAAATTTGTAATCATGAATCAATTGAAGCTAGACCACCATGGAAAACCTGGATGCACTGAACGGCCGTTTTGTTCTAGTATGGAACTCCTCGGCAGTGTGCATCAACGATCCCGCACCCCGCGAGATTCGAAGCCAGGACGAAACGGCCGTCCAGTGCTTTCAGGTTTTCCATGGTGGTCTAGCTCCAATCGACTAAGGATTTCAACTATTGGAATTACTAAAATCTCCTTCTGATAGTCTATATTTGTAAATGAAAGAATAGATTAATTTTATGTTATTAGCGATTGGTTCAAACTTGCTATCGGTTCTCAACTGTTAGAATTTAAGGTTAGGTTCATGGTTAAAGTGGTTTGAATAATTTTTTCTGGTTAGCATTTTTTTGCGAGTTAATTTTATACGAGATGAAGTCGCTAACCCAATACCCAACGCTCCCCTTCATCCGGGCTTTGGACAGACAGTAGTCCCAGAGGGGTTCCAGGCAAGCGTTCATATGGATCCTCAAGGTCAAAGGAAAAGTGGGAGACCAAAGAACACATTACACTGAGAAATGGAGACAGACATGAAAAAAATGAACGAAAATTGGATAGAACTGGAAAGGAAGGCCCAGGACAGAGTGGGTTGGAGAATGCTGGTAGGCGGCCGATGATCCATTGGTTTGGGGGGAGGTGACGGGAGTAAGTAAGTCATGGTTAAAAGTTAGGATTTGCTATTGATTTATATGTATACTAATCCACAGTACGAACATTAAACCCTACATGAAATCACAATGCTAACCACAAATTTTAAAAATATTTCTATCCCTCATACCGTTTCTAACATGAATATTAACCTAACCTTAAATCATTTTCTTAATTCTATTGAAGTAAAATATCAACCCATCTCATATTTCTTTCGACTCATTCAGAGTTATTTCAATTTTTCATTTGCATGTGTGTTTTCATAAATAGTCCGTTGTCCTGAAAATGCCTAATAATATTTTCTTCAATAAATTGGCCATTATACATCCATCATGATGATGATGATGATGATCATCATCATCATCATCATCATCATCATCATCATCATCATCATCATCATCATCATCATCATCATCATCATCATCATCATCATCATCATCATCATCATCATCATCATCATCATCATCATCATCATCATCATCATCTCATCATCATCATCATCATCATCATCATCATCATCATCATCATCATCATCATCATCATCATCATCATCATCATCATCATCATCATCATCATCATCATCATCATCATCATCATCATCATCATCATCATCATCATCATCATCATCATCATCATCATCATCATCATCATCATCATCATCATCATCATCATCATCATCATCATCATCATCATCATCATCATCATCATCATCATCATCATCATCATCATCATCATCATCATCATCATCATCATCATCATCATCATCATCATCATCATCATCATCATCATCATCATCATCATCATCATCATCATCATCATCATCATCATCATCATCATCATCATCATCATCATCATCATCATCATCATCATCATCATCATCATCATCATCATCATCATCATCATCATCATCATCATCATCATCATCATCATCATCATCATCATCATCATCATCATCATCATCATCATATCATCATCATCATCATCATCATCATCATCATCATCATCATCATCATCATCATCATCATCATCATCATCATCATCATCATCATCATCATCATCATCATCATCATCATCATCATCATCATCATCATCATCATCATCATCATCATCATCATCATCATCATCATCATCATCATCATCATCATCATCATCATCATCATCATCATCATCATCATCATCATCATCATCATCATCATCATCATCATCATCATCATCATCATCATCATCATCATCATCATCATCATCATCATCATCATCATCATCATCATCATCATCATCATCATCATCATCATCATCATCATCATCATCATCATCATCATCATCATCATCATCATCATCATCATCATCATCATCATCATCATCATCATCATCATCATCATCATCATCATCATCATCATCATCATCATCATCATCATCATCATCATCATCATCATCATCATCATCATCATCATCATCATCATCATCATCATCATCATCATCATCATCATCATCATCATCATCATCATCATCATCATCATCATCATCATCATCATCATCATCATCATCATCATCATCATCATCATCATCATCATCATCATCATCATCATCATCATCATCATCATCATCATCATCATCATCATCGTCGATAAATGTTAAGTCAGAATGGAACATTTCCCATGACCTTAATATTAAGTTCCATATCCTGATCAGATCTACATTATACTTTATCTTTATCGATCTTTTGGAAGGTAAGATATTATTATTTGGAAAAAGAAATACATGATAACTTTTTTATTTTACATTGAAAATTACTGGGACTCAAGAAATTCTTGACCATTTAGTATTCATACCTGAGAGATCAAATCCTACTTTGAATTAGCTGATATATATGTTCGACGTCTGATATGATGGAAAGAAAAGTCAATTTTTCTATTGATTCACTCATTATAAGTTTTGTTCAAGATTACTTCCGTTTTGATTCAATGTAATGATTACTCAGTGTAGTATTTGTTTTCTTTTCTCGTTTGATATTTTATTCTGTATAATATACGATATTCTTGTATTCGATTGGCATGAACTATGCTCAGTATATGATTTGTTATATGTGATTATATTGTTATTATTAATCAAAATGGGTGCACGAATCAGTATATAAATGGGTGTATTTTTGGCTAGAGTTGTCGTCGTCGTCATTCTCGTGTTTTGGGGTTAACAAATCATCACTTAAACCAATCTTTGTGTTCTTACTTTCGCGTTGTGGGAATTGCAGAGGTCCCATGTTCCGAGTATACTTGATAAGCGTTTCCGATACAACCAATCAGCGACGACCATATACAAAATGTAGCATTCAAAGAGCCAAGACAATAAGCATTCAAACGACAAGTTATAACAACGTCAAACATAATCTTTAGTATAGCCTATTGTTTTAATCAACAAATCAACCATAAGTCTTAAATTAAAATCCATTATTTGGTAAAAATAGACAAGTTAACCTCTTTATTACATCACAATCATGACAAACTTTCAGTCAGACCTTAATCAATAAAACAAAAACCCAGTTTCATAACCGTATGGTTTATGGAAAATGAAGCAATAATACTACAAAGCGTAAACAGCTTTTACATAATGAATCTGTTAACGTTTTTTACAGGTTACTCTGTCAGTAAATTGAAAATATAAGGTATAAATTCGACTATATTAGTATACCCTATTTGTCTTCTTGAACCTTTATAATATTTCAAAAAGATTTTTAAGATTCCATCTATTATTCATGGTGAAGGTTAAAGAGTTCGGATTAGAATTAAAGGTTTAAAGTTATATTTTGCAATCATGAAATAATATCAGCTATAACATAGAAATGTTTTATAGCTACATGAATGATTATCACGTAAAACCCCTATCATATTATCACTTACATAGTATAAGCTTAGGAATTCATAAAATGTCATGTAGAAATAATAATGAATTGCATTAAAACAATTTATAGTTGATAGAATAAAACTCCGCCTAGGTTCCCACGGGGGCAAATTCCGGTCCCAAGCCCGGATAAAGGAGGAGGATTGGGCATGGGGTTAGCGTCCCCATCCTGTAGAAAACAAACTCGCTAAAAAACTCTAACCAGGAAAAAATGTTATCAAGTGATTCCATAAATTGGTCTCGTTGGTCCTCGTCCACTATACGATTACTCACACTAATAAAAATGCAACTACTATTACCACTCATACTACTACGAGTAATGTTAATACAAATATTACTATCACAATAATAAAAAGAATTATTGCACACGAGTCTTTGTTCTTTAATATACTGATCATGTATCACTTATTTAACCGCATCATCTATTCCCAAGTTTCACAAATCTGTACACAACAATAAATGGAAGTCAATGTGACTCGTATTGTGCAATGAATTACCAAAACATCATCTACTCGATTCACATCGTTCGCAAATACAGTCGATATGAATCCAGTCAATAAACTGACCATCGAATCCTGTGAATTCACCATCTCGAGTTGAGTATTGACAGTTGGCAGTATCCGGTTCGAGAGTAACATTGAATGTGAGTGTACTAGTTGACGACAGACGGTAGTAATTTCAAGCTCAGTATGAAGAGGATGAATGTTTGTAGTTTGTGAAGATGCAGTGTGTGAACACTGGATAGTAAATTTGATTCGGAGGTTGATTTGACTTAGTACGATATATCAGTTGAGAACTCAGTCGCAATGTAATCTGCCAACAGCGTGACAGTGTGCAGTTACGATGAATTATGGACTGACTGAACTTGCAATCAATCAGTCATTCGAACTGAGATTGAATGAGTGGTTAGTATTCAACTGATCAACTGTGATATTCGGTGATTATAGTTAGTTAGTTAGTTAGTTACTTCAACTGATGATGATTGAGTAATGTGATAGAGACGAAATTTCGATCATTCCTTCATGGTTACAGGCTCGCTTGACGAAGCACAGAACTGGTATTTGACCAGATGTGATAGCTTATCAGTTCAACTCTTCTAAATACATTCTGTGAATAGAAACATATTAGAAATTAACCCACACTAATTAAGTGAGCTATTCATCCAGAGAAATCTGATCAAATCTATCATGATGAAGAGTTGGTTGAATGCAGAGAAAATAATCGATAATCTCCAGGTTACTGGAATATTCATGTTGATTCTATCATTATAACTAACAAGTTTGAATTCTTCACCTTTAAATTAGTGGATAGAAAATATAGTTCATGTTAAGGACATGTGTACATAGTGATTATGTGTTATATTCACATTATTGACTGTTACATAAATCAATGATTTAAATAGTTGACATCATGTGTCAATTGAATCTAGACCATCATGGAAAACGTGTAAGCACTGTACGGCCGTTTCATCCTATTGTGAGGTTCTACAGCAGTGTGTATGCACACTCCCGCCTCGCGAGATTTGAACCCAGGATCTATCGGTCCAGTGTGCGAACGCTTAACCACTGCACCACTGAGGAGTGCCACAATAGGATGAGACGGTAGTCCAGTACTTCCAGGTTTTCCATGGTGGTGTAGCCTCACTTGACACATGATCTCAACTATTGAAATTATAATATCCACAAAAACGCCTTCTGATATTAAATCAATGATTGTCATCATTTTGTGTAATAAATTGATAGGGTCTGTTTGTAGTTGTCTTTCAATTAGATTTGTAAATGATTTGTGTCTGACTGATATGACGTATTAATGTGAGTGAATAAATGATTAATGATTTAAACTGTTTGATATCACTACTTGTGTTTGTTGTAATGTGAAAGAGCGAATTGGCATCCACTAATGCAGTTGTATGTTATTTATACATTTTCGAATATGGTCTTTATACAGAATAATGAAATAAAATTGTTTATTATTATTACAGATTCCTAAATTTCTTGCCATTCACTTTCACTTATCTAAGTGGAACCCCTGTGGTTTATATAAAATCATTATATACCACAAAAATGACAAGTTGGTTTTTCCACCTATCTTCGTGAAACTTTTAACTGGAATGAAAAGTCTTTATGCGTATCTTTTCTAAAAGAATCCAAAACATGAATAGTTCTGATGTACGGAATCATTTTTTTAGTTTTGTCAAACCAGTTTCATTATAACATTGTCCGGAAGTCATTATTAATTTATTATTTGAAATGCTATCGATTGGATGATTTGTCTCAATTTTTCCCAATTTAAACTTTGAAAATCCGTTAGATGACTGGATTTTTTTCAATTCAGATCGATTTCGTTCGAGAAACCGCTTCAATTGACTCACGATTTCAATCTGTGAAATTTCTAGAATCTCCACAAAACCCATTCTGATAATAATCATCTGCTCACTGGTGACTGACTTCAGCAGATACTCCTGGAGTTCTAGTGAGAAGCCTTTACCAGTGGAGTTCAACCAGGTCTGTTGTGAGATATCAGGTCACTGAAGACAATGGTATACGGTCGCGAAACTTCGTGGATTGTTTGAAGTTAGACATTAACACTATTGCATGCCGACTCAGTGGTCTAGTTGGTTAGGCACCTGGCGCGAGACTGATAGGTCCTGGGTTTGAATCTCGCGGGGTGCGCGATCGTGGATGCGCATTGCTGAGGAGTCCCATACTAGAACGAAACGGCCGTCCAGTGCTTCCAGGTTTTTGCATGGTGGTCTAACTTCAATTGACTCATGATTTCGATCTGTGAAACCGCCAATATGTCCAAAAAGATTATCCGTTCAAACAGTTATTATCTTTTTTGACATTAGTATGTGGCGATTGTACTTACTTAAAGTTAACTTGGTTGTTCTATCTAAAAGTAATAGGTAATTAATTGCCATTTGAATACTACTTTTAGGAAAGACATAATGGAAAAGTTCCGTGGGGATTCATTTAATTTATAAATAATATTCATTACGGATTCGATATCAGGAGCACTTATTGGACAAGCGTTTCGTCTAAATCAGATAACACAATAAAACACACCTATAATCCTTCCGATTGTGGAATAATTGATGTCTAAGTCTCGTTTCGAGTCTTTAACTATTTAACCATGTGATTGGTATTTAGTAGTACACATTCTCAACCCCAATAGAATCCCCGCTTCCAGCCAAACAAGTTGATAAAGCCTAGTAGGCCCTTCTGGAGAGAAAACAGGCCATATCGAAGCACGGCACAACTACTGGGGCTAGAATAGCTGTTTTTGCAGTCCGTTGGAGTTTATTATTATTATTATTATTATTATTATTATCAGCTTTATTCAATATTATATTTTTGGTACAATATAGAATTCTCAGCACAAAGTATTTCAACAAGTTTCCGTTTGTTTCTTCTTGATCGGTCCTGGCGATAAATATTGTGTGATCGCCAGTTAAATTTTAGCAGTCCAGTAAATGAACATCTGAATAATGTACATTCTTTTCGTTGTATATTGCCAGCAACCACGTTGTCTCTTATTGAGCTTTTTGTAACTTTGACAACAAAAGGTTGTACACTCTTCAGAAACGCAGCAGAATAGGTTATACGATTAATAAACATAATGATATATTAAAACAAACAAAAACAGATAACTTGTTGAAATATCTAGATGGCAGGAACAGGTAGCCCAGACGCTCAAGCAGTCCGCTCTTTGACAAGCAACTCCATATGTTACATGCGCCACTTTTGTAAATTTTT